CGGAAACAGGCTCCAGGCTCCGAGCCATCAGCCCAGAGCCTGATGCGGGGCTCGAACTCACGGACCGCGAGATCGTGACCTGGCTGAAGTCGGACGCTTAACCGACTGCGCCACCCAGGTGCCCCAATGACACAAAATATTAATAAGATGTCCCCAAACAAATTATAGTCTTAACTTGCTGTCTCATATAGAACTAAATATTAAGAAGTCTTTGTTCCTCCTCCTCCTCCTCCTTGTCCTCCCTCTTCCTCCTCCTCCTCCTCTTCCTCCTCTTCTTTGTCTACCTCCCCCTCTCCCCCTTCCTTTCTTCTCCATTCTTTCCTTTATCCTTTTTTCCTTCCTTCCTTCTTTACCTTTGAGGCATGGGGTAGCTAATATTCTTAAAACACTTTTTTGCAGGGTAGTTAATGCCAGCTACCATAGATTAAAGAAGAGTAATCATAAAAATAAGACATGGTGGAATGAAAAGGAGTTAATGTCCTTATTTGGTGGCTATATCTAGAGGTCCTGGGGTTTTTGCAAGCAAGTATGTATAACAAACTAAAACATAATATGATTTTTCATTAATTCTGTGGTTCTTCTCTTCATTTTTAAGTTTATCTTTTTCAGAGAACTTTCTCTCTTTTTTTTTTTTTTCTTTTTTTTCTTAAGGAACTCTCTGGGAAGTGTTTTAGAATGGGAATCACAGTGGAGATATAAAGAATTGATCCAACAGATTATATTAAAATTTAAAAAAATTAACATTTAGGAGTGCTTGGCTGACTCAGTCAGTGGTGCATGTGACTCTTGATCTAGGGATTGTGGTTTTGAGCCCCACATGTAGAAATTACTTAAAAAAAAATAAAATCTATTTAAAATATTAAACATTTAGAGGGAAGGATACTCAAACAGCAACAGAAAAGAAATTGTGGTCCATACAGAAATATCAGGCCTCTACAGAAAAGCTAAAAGGACCTCCACAATATTAAAAATTGATGAAAAGATAGTATAGTAGAAAAGACCACTTAAAAGTAACCTTGCTGGGGTGCCTGGGTTGCTCAGTTGGTTAAGCATCTGACTCTTGGTTTAGCTCAGGTCATGATCTTGCAGTTTGTGAGTTTAAGCCCTGTGTAGGGCGCTGCACTAAGAGTGCAGAGCCTTCTTGGGATTCTCTCTCTGCCCCTACTGTGCATTCTCATGCTCTTTCTCAAAATAAAAAAATAAACTTTAAAAATATTTTAAAAGTAAAGATAACTTTGCAAATTACAATTATGAGTAATTGTAATGACTATGCATTTGCAATCCCCAAATCAACTCCTCAGATACTAAACTTTTTTATTATTTAAAAATTCAGATTAATGAAATCTGGGAAAACAGTTCGTTGTTTAATATTTGGCTCTTCTATTCAAAGCCATAATAGGTATGCAGGGTCATTTTATTTATTACCATTTTAACAATTCCAGATGAATTCTGTAGGAATTGCCCATTAAATATATATAAAAGATATATATCTTAAAAATCAATCTGTAATAGATCTCATACATCTATATAGATATACATATAGTCTTTTTTTTCTCTCTATATGTGCATTTACATATAGTGTTAAAGATAAGTTTGTTTTGAAAGAAAGCAAGAGAGTTTCACAGCTTGAAATGTGGAAGTGATTCAAAAAGGGAACTAGAGGCGGGGGCCGCCTGGATGGCTCAGTTAGTTAAGCATCTGACTCTTGGTTTTGGCTTGGATCACATGATCCAAGGGTCATGAGTTTGAGCCCCACGTCGGGCTCCACGCTGACACTGCGAAGCCTGCCTGGGATTCTCTCTTTCTCCCTCTCTCTCTGTGCCCCTTCTCTGCTTGCACTCTCTCTATCCTGCTCTCTCTTAAGATAAATAAAGTTTAAAATAATAATAATAATAATAGTAAAGGGAACTAGAGCCTGGGTGGCTCAATCGGTTAAGCATTGGACTCTCGATTTGGGCTCAGGTCATGATCCTAGGGTTTGTGGGATCGAGCCCCATAGCAGTTTCTGTGTTGCCAGCATAGAGCCTGCTTGGGATTCTGTCTCTCTCTCTCTCTCTCT